AGATTAATGTATAAGTTTCGAAATTTATCAAGATATTTCGTCCACTTCAAGTGACTTATAGGCGCACGATACTTTTTACGATGAAGCCTGTAACACATTTGTCTTCAGACTTCTAATTTGGTAGTTCAGCACACATAATATGGGCTATTAGGAACTGATACAGAATGTTTGTGATGAAATCTTATAAAAACAGATTGATTTGGATAACATTTTAGAGGCCTTGAGGTGGATAATATTAAAAGCGTTTAAAAAAGTTAAAGGTGTCACTATATAAAATCACATATACAGACATTTTATACTTTAAAACACAAATTCCAACCTCATGAGGTTATGTAAAGGTGTGGTCTGCTCTGGATTCTTCTGGTACATGATATGGTCCAGTACTGGGTTCATGTAAATACGGTAAGGGACCCTGTGCTTCATAAAAGGTGATAAATTTCTTAACAAACTGAAGAAATTAGTTCCCTTTGATTGGGCTTATTATATAATATTTAATTAGTATTTTCTAACAGTGATTCTTAGTGAGACGTAACTACTATTAGCAGCTTTAATTTTAGTAAAATTATAGGAACACGTACGTCTACCTTTTCCCACAAACTCATGCCTATTACGAACAACCTGTATTATTTTGTCTAGTCACAAATGACATTTATATGTTCCAAAACTTTTATATTGGTGGTTGTTCCATATCTGAAAGCTTTATACAATATTTTATAGAGGTTTCTTTTTCTTATTCATTTCAGACTAAAAGCACTCCATTCGGTTTGATTTGTGAATGTTTCAGTAATATCATTTGTTCTCTGAGACTATATAACCTAATCTTACGCCTTTTCAGCCTTTAAATTACGGTTGCTAAGAAATGTAGAAGCCATTCAGTATTGAGGGACCTAGAAAGCATTTCTCACCGAACTATTGTCCGTAGTCTCTTAATAAACTTTCAATTAAGACGATGATTCTTATTTTCCGTTGAAAGTGGAGGAGGGGCCTAAGCCGCGGCCAGTAGCGAAAGGCACAATACATTTTGTTTGAAGTTTCCACTAAGTTTTTATATAGCATAAGTGTTGAACCTACAGTTAATACCTCACACTTCTTAAGTTACCAACTGTTTGAACTTCTCAATACCTCTCAACCAAACGTACAAAAATTTACCCGAATCCCCTCTACACGTATAAGTCAAAGCTTTCACTAGAAGCCACTCAAACAGAACTTTTCTTTCTAACTCTCTTTTTTTTTTCTTCTGAAATCCACTTCGTACATTTTATTCTTACGAGGGAAGGGAATCAAATGCAGGGACTTTTGTTTAAACTGCCTCCACTAATTAGCGAATATACTTTTTTCTCTTTAACTGAATTCTGACATCTCAAAGGAGAACGGTAAAATGAATAGCCCCCTTTTTATCTCTCCTCTCTTTCATCTTCCTTTAACTGACCAGAAACCTGAATTAGATTAATAACTTCTAGGTCTCGTGTTAAGTAACAGACAGAGGATGAACAGTTTCTTAGACGAAGGCTCCTGAACGCGATATGTCATTAGACCTCAAGACTTCGCCAGTGACCCAACTGAACTATTTTCACTCGTATTAGACATAAACCAATGGATCGACACAGAAATTTGAACTCTTTTGATTCTGACTGTATTTGGCTAATAAACATCGAAGTTGGCCGACATGTTTACACTTATAAAATCTGAAGTTCTCACGAGGATTGAGATGTAGACGATCGACTTCGGATGGTGTCCAGAATACTTAATTTACACTAACTATAATTTATATGCTCTGACAGTAATTAAATAAATTAATAAGCATGATCTGATAATATCGTACATTTTCCAAAATATTGGTACTATCATTGAAACACAAAATGAAACAGTATAATGCATGAGAAGATGAGGAAGGCACACACAAATGTGAACGGAAAACCTGAAAGAAAACAAAGGCTTTGGATAGCAATTCTTAGATGGGAGGATTATAAAGTAGATTTTATTGAACTAAGGTGTGAAGGGATGGAATGAATTCTTCTGGCTAAGGTTAAGATCTTCAAAGAGACCCTCTATAGTGTAGAGGGTCTCTTTGAGGACGACAATGGACGGTCGGGATCCATAAAAAACATTGAGTGCCCTTGCCTGCTGCGTAAGTATAAAATTTTTCAGGATTACGCTGGATCACGGAGACAGTAGCGACCTCTGTTTATTATTTCCAGTACGGACTTTCGAGATGCCACATAAATCAACGGTTCTGTGCCATCCAAATTCTGACGCACAAAATTATGTTCCATGTCAAATTTTGATAGACTGGTGTTTATGTGGTACAAAGATATTTCTATAATTAAAAGAATGAAGTCATTCTGAAAATTAATGTTCTTTTTATATATTGTCAATTTTAGTTCCCATATTGATTGTACTTTAATTTTGGAAACCGACAGTCTGTAAGATCAGTGTGTTATGACTGATTGTAAACTATATTTTCATAATCCTAATAAATATATCCTCTCGGACACTAAAGATCCTAGGACTCATTTTTTAATAACAAATAATTTATCCTCCATTAGCAGCTGTGAGATTCTGGTACGTTGCTCTAAATCTATTAAAGCTTTGGTAAGCTTAAAATAAGGTTTACTTTATCTTAAAAATTTTATATTCTAACTATAATCACGTCAAATGTCAGACTGATAAAATCGACTATAACATAAATTCGTTTCGTATACATCCAAGTTCTCCATTCAGGTTGTCCGAGTAATATTGTCTGCATGTCTCATAATTCCCTTGTTTGCCACATGTATTTAAACCGTAAGGTGTACATTAGATACGTCTGGATGACCCTGTTCCTTTAGGAAGTCAGAAAAACCCCTTGGCATTAGAGAACAAGCCCGAACCGCGAGATTTCTGGAAGCCGCCACTTCTCCTTGTATTGTGCTCCCGTCACCTACAGCGATGAGTGTAGAAACAGAAGTTTGGTGTTTTTCTGTATAAAGGAAACCCCCTCAAACCTTCATCTAAACGGATAGATGAAACGTGTTTTTGTTAAATGCGGAAATAGAGACGTGTTGAAAATTCTGGATGGACTATTTTTAATCTGTTTATTTTAAAATATCCTCTATGTTTTTATTTCTTATGTAGTAATTAATTTAAGCTGCGTTTTATTCTTACCGATAATGCCGTTAAGATGGTATGTGCAGGGATATTAACAGAAGCTGTTGGTTCAGAAAAGCCACCTCTTCAATCTGGAGTTTACCACCTTTTCTAAATGTCAATTATGTCTGAATCTGCTTCAAAAGAAAAAAAACTCTATTTTTGTCTCAATTCATTATAGCTATATACGATGAACGACATTTGCATTAAAGCTTAGATTAAAAGAGAATTTTTACGCTTTTCACAGACGTTAACTAAATACTGTAAAGAGCACGTCATACTGCTAAGATGATATTATAAGCCATTAACTGTGGTATGGTATGCGAGGTGTGAAACATGTCGCAATACCAAGTTAGTCTAGGCCAGCTGGTTTGTTATCATTAGAATGTTGAAGTTGTTGGTTTAGGAATGCCTAGTGTTAAATAGGACACCGTCCTAATTGGGTGCTCTGCAGGCAGCAACGAGAGCTTTGATCTCTTAATTACAGCATGTGGAGTTATTCCTCCGCCAATTTTATTTCGTGTTTTCCTTTTTTTTATATTTCTGTAAGTTTCTCATAAATCGTGTTAGATGTTGGTTAATTTTAACTGGCGTGTTATACCCACGCTAGCAAATAAAAATTGTTGAAATCCAAAAACTCTGCTATTGTACACGCTTATGTCCGTAGGCTACTCTATCCTTTCAGGAAATATAACTGAAAGAATTTTAGGATTTTAAAAGTATGCATTTATTTATTTATTTCACTAATTACCTGAGTTTTGAGTTAAGGTTCTGAGGAGTTCTCATCGCTGGGAACCTTTTCAACATATCGTAGGTTCATGAATGACAGCTCTTACTGAAATAGTCCAAGCAGTTTCTATATTGTATAATCCTGGGGTCTCGTGTTCGATTCCCGGCGGTACCCAAATTTATAACTTGTGTTGGGCAAGGCCGTGGTCTAGGCAACACGGAGTTTTCCTCCGGGGGCTTCCCCGGTTTCTCCGTGGCATCCCAACAATTACTCCATTCACACACAGAAGAAGGCAATGGCAAACCACTTCTGGATCATCTGCCAAGAACGTATATGAACAGGTTCCAGTCCGAGAAAAGGATGGAAGGATCCTGTTCATATGGACCTGTCGTCAGACAGAACACTAAATAATAATAATAATAATTATAATGAATAAAACAGTTTCACTGTTCCTGCTGTTCAGTGATTTCCGTTGGTTCATTTTAAACGATGATGATGATAATAATAATGATAAACTTATAGAACCAGATTGAAAAAATAAAATCTACGTGACACACTTAAGAGAATTAAATAAATATATTCATTAATAGCTATTTGTTTACATCTGGTATAAATTAAATGTGGACTGATTAATTTCGACCTTACAACTTCCTTTCCCGTATTTCCCCCTATTTCTTTCCATTTGTATGTTCATCCTATCGTCATTCTTATCACTCTTTATTCCTTTTCTTCGTTTCATTCATTCCTCTACGTCCTTTTCTCTTTCCTGAAGTTCATAAGTGCAATAAATACATCGCTCGAAGTATGTCGTTCCAGGGCTGCATAGCGACAGATGTCAGCCGTAATAAGTACTTTAAACGTTTTCTCCGAGGTCCGCTCCCATTGAAATCTCTCTTGTGTGAGTGCATGCAAACACGCTCACAAACATCAGCTTGGCTTCTTATATAATGCAGATATCTAATTAAGCTAACAATATGACGAGCCGAAATATCCATAGCATTTGAATAAAGCCTTCAGAAATCAGCCAGTAACAAATATTAATTTCCCCAAAAGTACCTTTGATATTGTCTTCTACGTATTGCTAGTCTTTTAAAAGGTCTTTAATTCGGGTTTTCATTATTTCAAGTATTCGTTCTTTTTCCAGTAAATCCAATCTGTACCGGTTAACTCATCGGCTGAGAGACGAAGTATCGTCGCCTGACCGTAAGTTTTGAATCTTTTAATTGGCTGAAAGAAGTTACAATAGAAATTGCAATGGATTTATTCTATTTAAATAAAAAACAACTAATGTTTCATTGATGTGGGTTTAAAATCAACATTCTCATACGACGAGCTTTCGAAAATATAATTTAATTTCGAGCAGCAGATTCGACTTTCAGAAGCTAATAGTTTCTCAGCTGGTCAATAAAATCCCTTGAATTTATGGAATTAGAATTTTCAATATCATGAATATAAAATCTCACCACTGGCCCCTATTCTGAGTCAGATGTATCCAGTTTACATTATATATCTTATTTATCTAATATTAATTTAATAACGTGTCATCTACATTTATATGTAGAGCTCCAAAAGCCTCTTCCATTCGGGTTTTCCAATCAAATTTTTGTATGAATTTCTTGTATCTTCCATGCTTGCTGTATTTAATCGCCCTATATTCATTGACTAGCTCAACCTGATTATAGGCCAGTCTAATTAAGACTGAAAATTATGAATATCCTCTTTAAGCAGTTTCTTTTCATTCACTTGTTACTTTCTCTGTTTGGTCCAAATTTCTTCTCCGGACACCGTTTTCAGCTGGCTTTCAGTCTGTACTTCACCCAGATACTAAGAACAAGTTTCTGTTTAATACAAAATCACCGGCCAAATTATAGTTTTTGTAAATTTTAATTTTCGTTTACAATTTTTTTTTTTAAATATGTAGTCGACTTAAATCTAACGAATAAATACGGAAAATCTGTAAGCCACTGGGTTAAGTTTAAATTTTTCATCTTTATATAACTATTTTCTTTTGAGAAAAGTAATAAAAACGAATACAAACTCTATCTGACTATTAAAACAACTCTGGACCACCGTTTAAGAAACCCTTGTCTGGATACTTTTCAACAGTATATGTGGCCAGTAGGCCTATTAGTTTAACGTGCACATGCTAATTGTACAGGTATTAAGCTGTGATCTTCTATCTACCTGTAAAGTTTTTGGAAGATAGTTGGCTAATAAATCCAACAATAAACATTCTCGCATTACCCTGTTAATAGATTACAATATAAATCATAAAACACCTTCATCATATCACCTGATTGTATTCTCGTCTCTTAACTTCCCGTCAGTTTGATACTTTGCATCTGAACCACATAAACATATTTGTGAATAGTTTTGTTGTACACAAATAAAGGAAGCTTTCAGTGGGATGTGATTGTTTGTAAGAAACATTAACACAGCTATGCATGAAAATGGCTGAACTGGATGGTCAGTAAACTGACCCTTCACTACGATGGACAAGACACAAATAAGGCTGCTCACGGTTAGTGAAAATCTGGTGTTTCAAGTGTCGGAAGTCAGTACGTATAGATTTCTGGAAGCACACTGTGCTATACGCAAGACTAACGTAATATTTTACGTGACTGGAGATGAGAAATGTAAAACGAGAAGGTAAAGCCATGACTGGAGGCGTCTGACATAGGCAAGAGATCACAGTAGCTTGTAACTTGATATAGCAGGAAATCGTCACTACGTGCTCCATTCCATGAAGATGTATAGGGGGAGTGAAGCTTCAGGTAATACAGACTAGTTATTTAATGACACTATTTAAACTGCTGATACATTACCTAACAGGAATGTTAAAGGATTAAGACATAAGCTACCGCCAAAATTTACAAATTTAATGTCTGTCTATCAAGCATCAAAATTAATTTATATTACTTACAGGAAAGAAATTCGTGTTAAATGTAATTTATTTGCTAAAAATTGAACAATTATACCAATTTCAATTATTATTTATAGATCCTTTCTTATTTCCCGTGAGGCGCGTTAACTCAATCAGTATAGTGATTAGACTTTGCGCTGGATGGCAGGAGTTTGATTCCCGCTACTAGTCCAGTCAGTCTTTCTGGATTCACCCAGCTTGATATGCAGTGGGGGATCGAAGTTATTTGCTCGGTGGTGAGGAGACCGGGGCGCGAAGATAAATCAACTTTATCAAATTTCGGCCGACAGTCAAAAACATTTCCTTAGCTCGGTGTTTAATTAAATACCAGCGACAAACTTATCTTATTGCCAGAATAATAATGTAGACATTATGCTTTATACTTTTCGGAGGATCTGTGGAACAATATCCATAACTCTGGAAAACCACTAAAATATATAAAGCAATTTTAGTGCTTGTGTTGAAGTAAGCTGACAAATTCTACACAAACCGGATTTCGTTAAAGAAATCCAGAATCAGCTAAGACATCGCCTTACGATTAGTAGCTCTATCAACTCAGTAAAATTTATTGTCATGGGAAAAGTGATATACCGAATCACATTTATCGAAAACTTCCTTATCTGTCACATCTTTGGGCACTTTGTCTGTCTTTCCGGACGAAATGAATAAAGTTCTTTGCACTCTTGCTTTTCCTGTACTCCTAAAATGCTTCTAATTGCTAATGTTCGGGAAATTCTCCCTATGCCCCCTGCAATTCTTTCTTCATGAAACTGTACGTTCAGAGCAGTTAATTGTGTCTACCCTCGTTTCTTCGAGGAACAAGTTTATGAATATCAGTGGTATAATCGACCCGAAACTCACTTCGCTCACTTGACATTTGTCTACATCATATTTGGTACTGACAGTACCGTTAAGAAAGCGTTCTGCACGGAGGATGTTCAAGGAACCTCACGTGACACGAAGTAACTCAACCAGCCAAATCGTTTTGCTGCCACTGTAGCAGTTTACCGACGTTTCGGAGATTCTTGCTACGTCAATCTACACCAGGGGTGGCCAACCCGCGGCCCGCGGGCCGCATATGGCCCGCCTTGAACATTTTTCCGGCCCGCGAGATTCATCACACTTTTACAAAATATATTTATTTTATAATGGCCAAAGTAGTGAAAACCAATGTATTAAAAAAATACATTATTTGTGCATCCATATATTCAAAAATTATCTGTCGAAATTATGAGAAAAAATTAACTTTGATTTTAAAATAATATT